CTCGCCTGCGATGCTCTTTGTCCTCACCCTCCTCTCCTGCCTCTGTCCTCTGCTGAGTCAAAGGTGGCTTTTTTCTCTCCAACCTTGAATTGTTACCTGGGCCCATCTGCTGGTACAGTCCACACTTCCAAAGCCAAGACCCGAGAGGGCTCCTTTGCTGCCCCAAGCCTCTCTCTCACTCTGCCCTCGCCTTGGCATGGGTGGCATTGCTGTGACCCTGTGTGCTGGCGCTCTGGCAGGCTGTGGCCGGCAGTGAGCTGGGGGATTGCATTCTGCTATTCAGGGGTGACCTTCGGATTCTGTCTCGGCAGAATCCTTTGTCATCGGCTCTTGCTCTGTCCTTCCTGTTTGGCCACAGCTCTTTCAGTCAGTGGGTATTCTAGAACTGCAGGATGTCACAGCTGGAAGGGATGCGATACCAGTTTTCAGAAGGGGAAACTCCTGGAGGCTCTGGGAGGGACGGAGGTTGTTGCTGACCAAGGAATAGCTAGAACTGAGGATTCCTGAATCCAGATCTTGCCTCCCATCAGCCGTCTTTCTCCCAATAAAGTTTTGTTTTGTGTAAGGCAGTGCGTGTGTTTGTGTGGAGGCTGGCTCACCAGGTTTTTCCTTTTAAGTCGTCAGGTGAGGGTGTCTCCCCCGGGTGAGGCTGACACATTCCACTTGGCAGTCTGTTTTTTTAGGGGGTGATGAATAAGAAGATGGGATCATCTGTTTTTCTTTAGTCATCATTCTGTAGCATGAGAAAGCTTAGCAGGAAGGAGAATGCAGCTTCCTGGCAACAGAAAATGCCACTAACTTGGTCAGCAGCTGTCCAGTGCCCTGTTGAAGCTTTTAGGATGTTGTGTGAGTTACACCTTACTCCCGTGATACACCTGTGAGAAGGGGGGACCGGCCTGGGGGTGCGCTGTCCACAGTCCCTGGCTCATTCCTGCTGTAGAGGTGGTGTTTGTTTTTGAGACAAGGCTGCCCTGCAGCTTTAACCTCATGGGCTCAAGCGATCCTCCTTCAGCCTCCTGAGTAGCTGGGACTACAGGCATATGCCACCATGCCTGGCTAATTTTTAAATTTTTTGTAGAGAGCATCTTGCTACATTGTCCAAGTTGGTTTCGAACTCCTGTACTCAGACCATCCTCCTGCCTCAGCCTCCCGCAGTGCTGGGACTACAGGTGTGAGCCACAGCGCCCGGCCACTGCTATAGACATTTGATGAATGTTTGCTAGGCTGGGCACGGTGGCTCACACCTGTAATCCCAGCATTTTGAGAGGCCGAGGCAGGTGGATGGCTTGAGCTGAGTTTGAGACCAGCCTGGGCATCATGGTGAAACCTGGTCTTACCAAAAAAAATATATATATACAATTAGCTGGGCATGGTGGTGTGAGCCTGTGGTCCCAGTTACTCTAGAGGCTGAGGTGGGAGGATTGCTGGAGTCCAGGAATTTGAGGCTGCAGTGAGCTGTGATTGTACCACTGAATTCCAGCCTGGGTGACAGTGACACCCAGTCTCAAAAAAAAAAAAAACAAAAACTTGCTGTTCTTCAGGCATGAAGTCAGGGGCTGGAAGCAGATGAGGCTTGAGGGCCCGGGGCTGGCATGAGAATCCTAGGATGGATATAGCTTTTCAAGGTCCATAGCAGGGGAGGAAGGGTTTGTTTGCTGTTGGAGCAGTGGGAGTGAGGACAGAAGGTGGGCAGGTGTGAGAACTCCTGTTCTTGGTTTCCAGAGCAGTGACGGGCAGGGGCCACTCTGCGGGGTTGCTGTGCTCTGCTGGGAATTTGCTCTGGCCGGTATCTCCCAAGGGAAGGCAGTGATTTTGGGTGGTGCAGAGATGGGCATTTTTCTTGTGAATATTATACAATGATTTCCAAAGCATATTGGGGAAAAACCAGCCCATCAAACCTATTTAGGGAGAGGCTAACGTAGGCACTTAGCTCAAAACAATGAGATTTGCTGACTTACTATACGGAGTACTACATGGGTGGCACAAGGGAAGGGTTCAGCAAAAGCTGAAGGTGGGGGCTGGGCGTGGTGGCTCACGCCTGTAATCCCAGCACTTTGGGAGGCCGAGGTGGGCAGATCACTTGAGGTCAGGAGTTCGAGATCAGCCTGGCCAACATGGTGAAATGCTATCTCTACTAAAAATGCAAAAATTACAGCCGGGTGCAGTGGCTCACGCCTCTAATCTCAGCACTTTGGGAGGCCAAGGTAAGCAGATCACTTGAGGTTCAGGAGTTCAAGACCAGCCTAGGCAACATAGTGAAACCCCATCTCTACTAAAAATACAAAGATTAGCTGGGTGTGGTGGCGCACACCTGTAATCCCTGCTACTTGGGAGGCTGAGGCAGGAGAATCGCTTGAACCTGGAGACAGAAGTTGCAGCAAGCTGAGATTGTGCCACTGTACTCCAGCCTGGATAACAGCGAGACTCCGTCTCAAAAAAAAAAAAAAAAAAAAAAGGCCGGGCATGGTGGCTCATGCCTGTAATCCCAGCACTTTGAGAGGCCAAGGTAGGTGGATCACCTGAGGTCAGGAGTTTGAGACCAGCCTGGCCAACATGGTGAAACCTGGTCTCTACTAAAAAGACAAAAATTAGCTGGGCGTGGTGGCGGGCACCTGTAATCTCAGCTACTCGGGAAGCTGAGGCAGAATGGTTTGAAGTGGGGAGGCGGAGGTTGCAGTGAGCGGAGACCGCGCCATTGCATTCCAGCCTGGGCAACAACAGTGACTCCGTCTCAAAAACAATAGCAACAACAATGAAAACCAAAACTGAAGACATTTGGGAAAGCAGCCTCCGGTGAGGGAGGTGGAATGAGTTCTAGGTCTTGACTTCTGGGGTGCCGTGGCGGGCAGTGTGGAGTGGCGGGCAGCATGGAGTGGCGGGCAGCGTGGAGTGGCCGGCAGCGTGGAGTGGCTGGGAGCGTGGAGTGGCGGGCAGCGTGGAGTGGCTGGGAGCGTGGAGTGGCTGGGAGCGTGGAGTGGCGGGCAGTGTGGAGTGGCTGGGAGTGTGCCGTGGCGGGCATCGTGGAGTGGCTGGGAGCGTGGAGTGGCGGGCAGCGTGGAGTGGCGGGCAGCGTGGAGTGGCGGGCAGCGTGGAGTGGCGGGCAGCGTGGAGTGGCGGGCAGCGTGGAGTGGCTGGGAGTGTGGAGTGGCGGGCAGCGTGGAGTGGCTGGGAGCGTGGAGTGGCTGGGAGTGTGCCGTGGCGGGCAGTGTGCCGCGGCGGGCAGTGTGCCGCGGCGGGCAGCGTGGAGTGGCGGGCAGCGTGGAGTGGCTGGGAGTGTGGAGTGGCGGGCAGTGGTGGAGTGGTGGGGCAGCGTGGAGTGGCTGGGAGTGTGGAGTGGCGGGCAGTGTGGAGTGGCTGGGAGTGTGCCGTGGCGGGCATCGTGGAGCATCGTGGAGCATCGTGGAGTGGCGGGCAGTGTGGAGTGGCTGGGAGCGTGGAGTGGCGGGCAGTGTGGAGTGGCTGGGAGTGTGCCGTGGTGGGCAGCGTGGAGTGGCGGGCAGCGTGCCGCGGCGGGCAGTGTGCTGCGGCGGGCAGTGTGGAGGTTACCTGTCGTTCGGGTTGGAGGAGACTGCCTGGGCTGAGGTGGCTAGCTGGGGCCCACAGCCAGAACACTTGGGATAGGCTGGAGAGGAGAGGAAGTGATTCAAAGCCACGTATGCCTGAATGTGTCCGGATTACAGCAATATCTGCCCAACTGCCCAACTGGTTCTTCTTCTGGCCCCTATGGGCACTCCCCTTCCAGTAGCTGGAGGGCCCTTCCCGGACAGATCATGAGCGGGCCCCACGCCCTTCCCTTGGGATCAGGTTCAAGCTCAACTTCCCAGCTAGCCTCTCCCTCCAGGGAGCCAGAGGCCTGCCCTGCACTCACTGGCTGCTCAGGTTCAACGCGGGCCTTTTCCCTGAGGCTTAAGCCCTGACCTTGAGTTCAGGGTCAGCTTCTGCAGTGCTGGGGATGGTGACTTTCAATAGTGCTAGGCTGGCCTAGGTGCAACCTCTGTGCTTTGCTCTGGCTTAAAACTTACCTACTGTGTTTAAATTTCTTGTGATGGTGTCTTTATCCTGCTAACCCCCTAAGGCAGAGAGAGGGGACTGTCCCTGCCTTATAGGGTTCTGGGTTGCAGGGGGCAGGGGTATTACTTGAGTTAGTAATGGCTCACACTCACTGTTCAAAGTGCTTTAAATTCCATACACGGTAAGGACTATACCATTTGACACATGAACTAACTGAGGCGAAGATGAACTCACCGTAAGTCACGCAGCAGCTTGTACCAGCAGAACTAGGCTTGGAGCCTTGGCAGCCGTGCTCTTACCTGCCACGTGCAGAACCTGCTGCTCTGGGGACACGTGGAAGGCACCAGGACGCGCTGCGTAGGCATCATTTAGTTGTTAACACTTTACATCCCACCACAGTGCCTGACAAGCGGACACCCTTGGAGTAACCCCTGGAAGCTGGCCTGGGCTGCAATGCGATGACAAGGTGGAAGGAAAGGGGAAGTTCCAAGTCCTTTTGAGTTTGGAGGGGAGTGTCAATTCTGACTGCAGAGGGAGGCAGCAGGCAGTGCAGGAGGGGCTCCAGGGGCCTGGGGAGGGTCTGAAGTGTGGGAACTGGGGCAGGAGCGGCCCAGGCCTCTGCGCATCAGGGCCCAGCTTGGCGGACTCAGGGTACCCACCTGATGGCAGCAGCCCTGTGTCGGGGGACACAGCAGCGACCCTCCATTTCCGGTTAAAACAAGTTTGAGTGAGACTCAGTTGTCTCTCTTTGTCGCACTATGTTAAGGAAACTTGTAAGGAATGGCAGGCTTGTAAGGAATACCCAGTGGGCAGAAAAGCAGCGGGGGAGGAGTCTGTGTGTCAGGAACAGGAACATGCAACTCCACAGAGGGAGGGGCCCCGACGGGACAGAAATCTGGAGCAATGAAAGAGTGGCTCTCAGACCTAGAAGGGCTGGGGTTCCCTTCCAGAATCTGCAAACAGGAGGAAAAAGGAATCAGAATGAGAAATAGGAAACAAAATCACTTTAATGTACTAACCGTTTTAGAAGGTCATTACCGTATCATTTGCAACATTCAACAAGGAAAGATGCCACTGGATGGCCGTGTCCTGCAAGTCACCGAGATGAGGAGCTGGCTGCTTTCACCCCACCGGATCCGGGGCTCAAGAGAGCTGCAAGCCCGAGTGGCTGGGAGGTTTGGAGGGAACCAGGTTGAGCTGTGATGAAAGCGCCTGGCTGTGGGCTGGGAGGCAGGAGTGCAGGGCAGTCGGGGCCCCCCTGGCCCCAGATTCAGTGCCCAGTGAGGCCACACAGCCCCAGCACCAAGCAATGGAGGGTCTATGGGTCCCAGCGTTTTCACATCCTGAAAAGTGACACATGAACCGTTTTCCTAGGAAAGTTCTCTTCCACCGTGTTCTGGCTGAAGCCTGGGATCCTTCCAGTTTCACAAAGAACGTGCAGAAGGTGGAAAGAGTGAGGGACGCGGACCTGGCTGCAGCTGCACTCGGCCCCCTCAGTTGTAAAGTCTGGGTGAGGGCCTGGGTGGGCGCAGATAGGAGAGCGGCTCCTCTTCCTGTTCCCTGGCCAGGCTCTTGCTCGATCCCTGAGAAACTAGAGGCGAACACCTCTGGGAAGCCAGCCAGGGCCAACCAGAAGGTCGTTTTGATGAAGTCTGACATCCCACATTGGTTTCTCTGGACCTGGGTGACTGTTTTGCCAGCATCAACTCTCCGGCCCAGCTGAGGTGCAAACTCCCTAGGGTCTGCTCCCACTCGGCCAGCCATCTGTCCAGCAGGCCTCAGCCTCACACGGGAAAACGCAGAGTGCGTCTAGTCACTGGGCATAACACTGCCCTGCTCACAGTCCCCATCAAGGTGACATGCAGGCGGGAGCTTCGTTCCAGGTGTTTGTAAATTTCGTCCTGGGGTGGGTCACTGCAGATGGCCTGTCATTGTTTCTCATTACCAAACCCCCACTGTTGGTGCTGATGCAGGGGTCCATTAAAAAACCCGCTTACGATTCCACAGACCCACCAAGAGGGAGGGCCCAGGCACATTTTTTCTTTCTGTATCATCCTAGAATTATGGGGAAATTTCCGCCAAAACCACATGATTGCACGTATCAGGGTATTAGATTAGGGGGCTGAGGGTGGGTGGGGAAGACCTTTTGTGGGAGGTATTCCTCTGAACCATTCTTGACAATAGTTTTCTCCTTCCTTCTGGAAGCTTCTGGCACTGGAGATGGAGGCAAGGCATGCCAGGGGTGGAGGTCCAGACTGCATGTGCCTGGCAAAGGATGCAGAGCCTGGCTGGGCTGCGGGTGGGTGAGCACGTGTGGGAGGACCCTCGGCTCTGGCCACCAAATGCCCCATGCTGGCTTGTCAGCCAGGACCCTACCCTCCTGCTCCCGCGTTAGGAGAAGAGCTCTTCACAGATCCTGCGTGTGTCCTCAGGCGCTGTCACGGAGTAGCCCACGGTCCTGGGGTCTGTGAAGATCTCATGGTCATTGCCACCCTGGAAAGACACAAAGTACAGATGAAGGCTCCACCTCGTTTGTCCGGGGCCATTGCTGATGTGACCCTGGAACCCAAAAGCACCCGAAAAACAAGATTTAACTGGGCAGGGAGAATTTCTTCAGCTACCTTCCTCTTAGTTTCCAGGAGAGGAACATGAGTACAATTGTTATTGAGAAGAGATTTATAACCTTCTCTTGAACTGCAATTTGGCTTGGAACACGTAATTATGCCTAGGAGAAGTATCACGACGTTCTTGTGAAGATCTGTCTAAGGCTTATTTTTCTATACAGAAGGCATCAGCGAGTGACAGTATTCTCACAGCCATCAGTTTTTTTTTTTTTTTTTTTTTATAGCTGTGCCCACACTTTTCTAACAAGTCACAAGGGAGCATCAGGAGGGCAGAGGGTGGGGAGCAGGGCTGCCAGGGATCTTCCTGTGATGAAGGACGTGGCGACATCAGTGGTGATGGCAGCCACTGGCCATGTGTCACTGCACACTTGAAACGTGGCCAGTGCAATGGAGGAACTCAGTTGATTTGATTTTAATTTAAACGGCCCCACGTGGGCCAGGTGTGGTGGCTCATACCTGTAATCCCAGCACTTGGGAGGCTGAGAGGGGTGGATCACCTGAGGTCAGGAGTTCGAGACCAGCCTGGCCAACATGGCAAAACTCCATTTCTACTTAAAATACAAAAATTAGCTGGGCGTGGTGGTGCACGTCTGTAATCCCAGCTGCTCGGGAGGCTGAGGCAGGAGAATTGCTTGAACTCAGGAGGTGGAGGTTGCAGTGAGCCGAGATCGCGCCACTGCACTCTGAGAGTGCTCTATCTTAGATAGAGCCTGGCAGACTATCTTAAATAAATGGCCCCACATAACTGGGGTCTGAGCTGCTGGCTAAGAGCAGGGCCTCTGGAGGCCCCAGGTGGCCTGGGTCAGATGCTGGTTCTACCACTGAGCAGCAGTGTGGCTGCGGCAACTCCCCATCTCCAAAATGGGGTTCTGGTGGAAGCCTGCCCAGAGCTCTGTGGCCAAAAGCTCAGGAGATGATGGCTGGGGTCACACCTTGGTAAGATGAGGAAACCGAGGCCTCAGAAAGTCTGTAAGGGCCCATGTCTAGGAGCACCTGGGCATGTTCTGCCGGGGTCCTGTGCCTGAGTCGAGTGCCCTAATCTGTGTCCCCATTACCCCCACCAATCCCGCTGGGCTCAGGTTAATGAATCAGGTTACCTGCCGCTCCCGCAACCCCGAGCCCTGCAGGAAATCCCCCGTTTTTCTCATCGTGGAATTCCTTTATTTCCCTCATAAAACTGGATAAACACTGTAACTCAAAACCTTAAAATAATCTATGATTGGTTTACAATACAATGAACACAACCGCAGAGAAAACGGATTTTTCTCATAAAGCACCGAGCATGAAGCCAACATGGAAACCATGAATTTGTACCAAAAATCCGACATACTTTTAAAGAATTAATTGCCTCTGGAAATGAGTGTTTTCGTTTTTGCAAGAACCTATCCCCAGGCAGATGGCTTCCTGAGGTGGAGGTGAAGTTTCAGGCTTCAGGAAGGAATGTCGCTGGGCCCAGGGAGTGCTGGGTGGAGTCAGGGGCCCATGAACTTGGCATCTCTTCCAGTCCAGCCACTCGGGAGCCTGCCCGGGCCTTGCGCTGGCCTTACGCAGTTTTGTACCAGGCCTGGCAGCCTTCAGACAGACCTGAATTTCATGGCCACCATCTGCTACCTACACATGTGAAACCAGTTCTGCTAATTCTGATTTTGCCTTTTTTTTTCCTTTGGATACAGGGTCTTGCTATGTTGCCCAGGCTGGGCTCGAGTGAACCTCCAGCCTCAGCCTCTCAATTAGCTGAGACAAAGACTGCGCACCACAGTGCCGAGCTAGTTCTAGTAATTCTTATAATTTAAAAAAAAGATTTCTTTCAGGAATGGCCTGGTGGACAAAAGTCACAGAGAACCTAACAAAGGCACAATCTAGCTGGGCATGGTGGCGCATGCCTGTAATCCCAGCTACTTGGGAGGCTGAGGCAGGAGAATCACTTAAACATGGGAGGCGGAGGTTGCAGTGAGCCAAGAATGGACCATTATACTTCAGCCTGGGCAACAGAGCGAGACTCAAAAAACAAAAACCAAAGGCACAACCAACTCTCACATGCCTCAGAAGAGCCAAACATCCTCCCCGCCTCAGTGACTGAGGAGGGGGAGTCAGTATTCACACATTAACACAATACACCTTTCTAGAACACCTACTACTTGCCAGGCATTGCTTCAGCAGGTAGGGATACGGCGCAAACCAAAACGACATCACAGCTGCCTTGGGAGCCCGTGGTCTGGTCGGGGAGACCAGCCATGAGCAGACAGCTCTTGGGCGCCTTGTTGAGCGAAGGGAGGGAAGGGCTGCCAGGACTGGAGGGTGAGAGAACCCTGGCATCTGAGGGAAGTGAGGGGACAGGCCATGTGGCCATCAGAGAAGCGACTGAAGAAGAAGGATGGGCAAGAACCGGGCCAGGCCACAGAGCACAGATTGTAGTAAGGACCTGGGATTTCACGGGAAGCCACCAGAAGGCTGCAAGCTCAGGCCGTGGTCTTTCTGGAGAATGGGTGGGGGGTGAGGACGCAACAGAGGGGAGCAGTTAGGAGGCTCCTACAGCCGGCCAGGGTGCAAAGAGGACCGAGGCCATTACCTGGGAAGAGACCCCTGAAGCAAAAAGGGTTTATGCTAGTCCCCTGACAGTTGCTAGGAGTGTCCTTCCCTGCAGATGTCACACGCAGGGGACAGAGGCCTAACGGCATGAGTCTCCTCCCATGGTCCTGCTAGGGGCTGGTGGGGAGGTGTCTGTGGAATCTGAGTGATCTGTGTGCATGTAACTCGCTGGCACTTAATAAAGTTAGGTCTGGAGAACCCTGGTTGTAGGAGCCTTGCTGGGTCGCTTCTCAGCTCCACCCCCTTTCAGAGAGCTGCACGGCTGGCAGGAGCATCTGCATCACAAACACAACCCGCCTCAGGCCTTCCTTTCTCTCCTGCCAAGGGTCTGCTTCCTTCTTTATGACTCTCTGAGCATGGTGGGCTCCTTCCTGGGGCGCAGCCTTCTTGGGGCTGTGTCGAGCTTGCACACCAGAGTAGGTGCAAAGCAGGCAAAGCGGACCCCAAATGAAACAAAAGGAAAGCTGGCTGCCCTCTAGAATAATAAGGCTACAGAGAACCGGAAATTTCAAATGCTGGATTTGCATATGCACTAAAGGTTACTTGATTCTAGCTGGGGAACTCTGCCACCCCCCCCCCAAGCTCCGAGAACAAAAACCCTGTTCCCTGGAGAGGGGAGGGAAGGGGGGAGGGATGAATGAACGATCTAATTTCTCGTTACAGTGTACCTGTCAGGCACCAAAGAAAGGCCAGGGCTCAGTGAAATCAGCACATTAATATTTAAATCCCTAACAGCTCCAAAGTCTGAGGATGAAACAGAAGGCATAGTGTGGGCCACGTTGAGATGCCAGGGGACTGACGAGTCTCCCGCCTCAGCCCATTTCTGTACATGCTGTTGCTGACCTGTGCAGTGTAGTAGTGAACCCCAATCATCCAAAGAGAGGAACAGTGTCATCTATCACAGCCTGCATGAACTGCTTAGCTGGTAGCAGTGGGTGTGTGCTGTGTGGATGCCTCCTATAGCACAGATGGACTCTGTGTAGCTCGCAGTCAGGACTCTTACTTATTTTTGAGACAGGGTCCCACTCTTGCCCAGGCTGGAGTGCAGTGGTGCAATCATGTCTTGCTGCAGCCTCCACCTCCTGGGCTCAAGCGATCCTCCCACCTCAGCCTCCTGAATAGCTGGGACTACAGGTGTGCACCACCATGCCTAATAGTCGATTCTTGCCGTGGACATTCATTTTGGCTGTTTAACAAGTATTTATCAGTGGCCGGGCGCGGTGGCTCAAGCCTGTAATCCCAGCACTTTGGGAGGCCGAGACGGGTGGATCACGAGGTCAGGAGATCGAGACCATCCTGGCTAACACGGTGAAACCCCGTCTCTACTTAAAAAAATACAAAAAACTAGCCGGGCGAGGTGGCGGGCGCCTGTAGTCCCAGCTACTCGGGAGGCTGAGGCAGGAGAATGGCGTAAACCCGGGAGGCGGAGCTTGCAGTGAGCTGAGATCCGGCCACTGCACTCCAGCCTGGGCGACAGAGCGAGACTCTGCCTCAAAAAAAAAAAAAAAAAAACAAGTATTTATCAAATTTCTAGGTATTATGGATACAGGGATTGAAGACACATTTGCAAAAATTATAACAGAAAACGGTGACAGTGAAAGAGATCTGGCCTGACTCCATCTTGCTTCTAACCTCCAAGCTGTCCTCGTTCATTCCTGGGCACAGGCTGAACTAACCTTGGGAGGAATTTAGTTTATAGTTCAACTTTGGTTTTTTTTTGTTTTTTGTTTTTGGAGATGGAGTCTCACTCTGTCACCAAGGTTGGAGTGCAGTAGTGCAATCTCGGCTCACTGGAATCTCTGCCTCCCAGGTTCAAGTGATTCTCCTGCCTCAGCCTCCCAAGTAGTTGGGATTACAGGTGTATGCCACCACACCTGGCTAATTTTTGTATTTTTAGTAGAGGTGGCGTTTCACCACATTGGCCAGGCTGGTCTCAAACTCCTGGCCTCAAGTGATCCGCTTGCCTCAGCTTCCCAAAGTGCTGGGATTACAGGTGTGAGCCACCATGCCTGGCCTATAGTTCAAGTTTGAAACAAAGATAACAGCTCTTTCCCTGAAATAAACCCCTTCTTGCCTGGGGACCAGTCTGTCTTTGTAGGATAAACAAATTAGCTACAAGACTGGAAATTATGGTTTAGGAGCCATGGAGCCTCTGGCTGCAAGAGTCTGAACCTCCCCACATTGCTCCTGGGAATAACATCACTTGTAAAATCTAAGATCAGTGCCTGAGATATTTTGCAGACCCTGCCTTCCAATGTAGCAGTTGACCCACTCAGACAG